TATTATTATTATTATTATTATTATTATTATTATTATTATTATGAACAATACGTTATTTTTAGTGTATGACAGAGAGTGAACACAATTGGTACAAACTTAGATGAACTTTTAAATATCTCTTTTCTGTCTTCAAGAGCTCAAATCTAACTTTTTCATTGTTATTAAAATTGTTCCATACACCTCTGAGCTTCTCCTAGTTGGATGCACCTGACGTAACATTACCTTAGTCATCAGGCTTTTTATTTCTTTATAGCTTAAAGATTAGTTGCATGTTATAAGCAGATGTGGGACTTATTTGGTGAGACTGGTTGTGTTTCTCCACTTCCTTCAGCTGTCTTCCAGGCTCGTACACTATCCACTAACGGACTGTCAGCTAAAGTGAAAGCCTCAACAAACGAGCTTTAAAYGCACCTTGAGACCACAAAAGGTTTTCAAGCCTTCAGATATATTGCTTGTAAACAGTGGGGTGGATATCGATTGAAAGTGAGACTGCAGTTCATTTCAGCACACATATTTTGAGGCTTTGACAGGCTCAGAGCTGCGGTCTAATGAATATGGGGCCTTTGATCAACAGAGTCAATCGTTTTAAATAAGCATCTGAAATGTTGGCTTGAATTAAATTGCCTACTTATGTAAATTGTATTAATCACAGATCTTCTAAATGGTAAACAGARTATGTTTTAATCACCCTCCTTGACTGAGAAATCAGACTAAACAGCACTTCCTAGCACACATGCAGCACTCTATGACATAATCCAATCAGAGGTTTGTGGCTGGATGCAACATTTTACAAGTTAAAAAGAATAAAAATAGTTTATTGCTTCTAGTCTTTATGTTTGACTTCCTTTTGTACTGAAATCAGATTCAGACAAAATAAACAAAAACAGAGATGCAAAATTTGRCAGTACAGTCTGATTTAAGTAGTCTTAAAATTATAACTTATGTAAATGTTGTTGATGCCAGAAGTGGGTTGTTTATGTTTTCTGTTGTCAAATATTTTGCAAGTTATTAGTTAGTGTTGGTATGATATTTTGGAGACAAACAGGGACGACTCCAGTTYAATGCAAAAGTTTAAAGCACAGATAAAGCGCAATGAGTAGTATTTCTAATATTTGTTGTGAATGACTTTCAGCTACATCTTTTATGTAAAACTGAATAACAACCAGTTTATATTATAAGGTCTGTTTGCAGCCATCTGCACTCCTGTTGATTTCAATTTAGTTAGTTTTAAACCACGTACATCCAAATATTAGCTACATTTTACCAGTTTTTGAGATGATATGCAGCAATATTCGTGACTAAATAAAAAAAGCATCCAAAATCTGTAATTTATGTGCAGCCACTGAGCGAAATTACTTATTTTTATTTGCTGCTTCAGAAAAAAAGATATATTAAGGCGAAAAGTGTTGCTTTCTCTCACTCACCTCACAGCACGCTGGAGTTTACTGGTGCACTGATGACTTCCAGACAAAACAAATTGGGGGGCCCAGAGCGGGAGGGAGACCTGTTTTTGTCCGGGTGTGCGTGTGTCGGGATGGGCGGAGGAGCCTGGAGGAGGCGGGGCTTACGTTTGTTCGCGTCTCGGCTGCCAGGAACAAAGGGTCCTGTTAGTTGTAGTGCATTAACTATTACCGTGCTCTTAACAGATGTCATTTAAAACGCATAGGTTGTCTTTGCAAGCCGAACAAAACTAACTGGAGCTTTCCACGCTTTGAGTCGCTTGCCGGATTTTTTAAAACATATATATTATTGAGTGATTTCATCGGTAAAAACGCTGGAGCTTTCTCCATCCAGCCGCTTCGGCTAGCAGCGAGGCTAGCTTAGCTAGCTGGCTAAAACACCGAGCCGAGGTGTTGACGGACACCGCGTTTCGTTGAACCTTTCTCTGCAGGTAATTTCAAACTCACGGCTTGTTGTTAGCCCTGCTACGGTCAGAATAAAAGAAACTACTGACTGGTGTTAGAAGTTTAAAGTGACGTTGATAATAATGGCCGTCCTCTCTCTCTGTTGATAATAGCGGCCCTGCTAGTTTACGCCTGGTCCCAGAACGGCTGAAACTAAACATTAATGAATGTAGACTGGATGCTTGCACACGGTGGAGCAATTATAACATGACCCCGGCTAGCCCACTGTTAGTGAAGTATGAAGAGTAGTTTGCACATGGATGTTTTATTGGCTGAGGGCCATCCTCTGGATGCAGCTCTATTGTTTGCAGTGAGGAGTTTGGGCGGACTAAATTGCACCAAGCAGGTCTCTGTGGAGTAAACCYAACTCAGAAAACCTGCTAGAATGTGCTTAAAAGACTGGAGTTTTTTTTTTTTACCTCTTTTTGTAATGACTTGGACACAACATCCCTCTTTGCTAAATTAAGACTTAATGTTTGGTTTGTTTCTTTTTATTTGATTCATGCTCCTGTCACGTCTGATCAAATGAGCTGCTTGTTTTTGTTTTTAAAACAATGATGCATTCATGAACATGTTATTTCACCTTTTTAAGTTTAATTTTCCTATTTCTATTTTTATTTAAGATGGTGATCACGATGTTTTTTGTTTAACAATTTTCACATATTAAGTGAAGATCAGCATCAGACTAAATGCGGTCTGAGGCCAAAAGGTCAGCAATGTTGGGGGTGTGTGTAGGTCAAATGTAAAGCCAAGAATGACATTGTTAGGATTTCCTGTTCAGACTCACTCTCCTTGTAATGAGGAGAAAATGACCYGCCTGACTCTCATCTGTCTGCAGAAGAAAGGAAAAAGGTTGAAAGTAAATGGAGGATTTGTTTATGGAGCTGGATTGTGGCCCCCCCACATCTCCTTTTATTTTTCTTGTCTCCATTTTTAGAGTTGTCCCTCACCACCCCTTCAGTTCACCAAAAAGTAACAGGAAACATTWAAATGACATCCCTGCCAGGTCTGGACCTATGTTAGATTTGCTCATGTTGGGGGGTGTTTCTTCCCCCCCTGCTGGTTTTAATCAGGCATGGTCCTGCTTTCATTTGCCTTGCTGACAGCGACAGACTGTTGTGCATAAATTGTGGGTTAAATGAACATTGTGCTGCCTTCAGGTGTTTGTGCAGATCCTAGATTTAAAAAGCTCATTAGACAAGCCTTTTTTATTGGATTCTGAATGTGTCAGCTTGTGAAATTCCACATTTATTGACCCCGTGGATTCTCCCCCCACTCTAATCTGAAAGATGGCTCAGGCTACCCAGTCTGGGTCAGATTTTCCTGATTTATTATAATTTATCCAGCTCAGTGTCATGATTGTGTCTAAAAAATCTTTGCTTAAGCATTATTACATAAAGTTTTGTGTTGCTTTGTTTTTTTTTTTTTTTATGCACGGTTCTCTAAGATAAAGATGTTTCTTTAACACTGAATTGTTTGAATAGTGTTGTTTGGGCAGATAAGGGTTAATAGTAGCCAGAGTAGGAAGGTGGGGGATGGGTAGAGGAGGCAACTGGAAGTGGGGGACCAGCACACACTCTCTCTCTCTCTCACACACACACACACAGTGCAAAGAAAACATGTTTGGGGGTAGGCTTTAGGCAGGGTACAGGGGTTGCCTGTAATGGTGCAAGTGATGCACAAATACAACATGCTAGGCCATATTTACCACCCACTCCGCTGATTGTTTTCTCAGACTAATAAATATTGTCTTTTYCCCCCACTTCTCATGATGACTTGTCTTCTTGTCCATTTAGCAGATTGAAGATGCATTAGATAATGAAAGCGGCAGAAAATCGTTTTTTTGGCGGCGTTCGTTTGATTTGAGCGAATCCCCGCGAAATCATCCAACGTTAGATTAACTTGGACGACGCTGTGATTTGAACGCACCAAATCCAAAGTAATCTAAATCTCCCTTTTAATGCTCTGCTCTGGGCTTGTGTGTGCAGGCTGTTCGTCGAAAACATTCAAACTGTACTCTCCTAAGGAGCCCCCCAACGGTGGCAGCTTTCCCCCCTTCCACCCAGGCGCCATGCTGGACAGAGATGTGGGGTAAGTGTTGTTTTGTCAAGAGAAAGCCGAGATGTCTAAAACTGGGGCATCCCTTTCAGTGAATTCAAAACGCGCTCGTTGGTTTGTGAGTTTGATCGTGTAATTGGTTGTCTTGACCTAGATACGCTAACTGTATCTACTTCTGTTTGTTTAGATATCTTCTGTGCTTTATAGCAATCTTACRCTGAACTGTTGGAATTCCTCTTTAATAAAAATGGCCAGAAAATATTAGGTTTCACTTTGTAGCAGTGCTCTATATTTCCACATCTTTATATTTCATTTTTATTTTGTGGATGATCTAACACTGCCTTAATGTAGGATTTAAAATTGTTTGGCATAAATATTAGGGTTGAACTGCTTTTCCATTTGTTTTTCTGTTGTTTTGAGAAATAGCACAAACACTTTACTGTTAGAGCACAGGCACGTGTTGCAACCATTATTTATAGGTTTAAACAAAAGCCTTATTTTGGTTCTTTTGCTGTTTTTAGGCCTACACCCATGTACCCACCGTCATACATGGAGCCTGGAATGGGGTGAGCATGCTTTGCTTGAAACATATGATGTGGTTTTTAATTCAATTACCATAAAAAAATGTTAATTTCATTAAAAAATAACTATATATA